CATCGACCACCTCGACCTCATCAACCACCTCGACCTCATCAACCACCACCACAGCGCCCGACATCACCACAACAACAACAACCATCACCAAGAAGCCGTACTACAGCTATAGGAAGAACCGACGTCAGCATCGTCGTGAGTATCGTCAGCATCGGCGCCAGTATCGGCGGGGGTACCAGTACTACAACTCAAAGTAGTTGCGGCGAAGCTTGTTTTTGAGTTTTGGGATGCCTTAATTAAGATACCACCTCTATCCACCTCTTTTGAATCCTTTTGAGCAGCAACTAAAATACGTGTTGCCACTCAGACATTGAAAAGATGTACGTTTGGTGCAAGTGGATCACAGAAAAATGAGCAGCACCCAGGGAGAAGTGGAGAACAAAGCATGGAACATGGGGACAACCGGGACATTGTAATCAGACTACTTGAAACCCAGATGATTGACAAGAATATTGTTTGTTATCAGACTTGTGAGGTTGTCCTATTCTACTGGGGTCCGGCCGTGCCACCCTCAAAGCCTCACCTTGGACACATGTGAGAAATTGCCCTCACTTCTTCCGCCCAGTCTGTGCCCTATGCATGCGAGGTGCGGCTGTGGGTACTTGTCAGGAGCGCAATGGCTCTCACGGAGCTAAGAGCCTATAAGAACCACCAAAGAGTGGCACACCAGATGCATGACGTCCTGTTTAGCATGGTGTTTAGATGCGTTTAGAATATCAACATATATCAACTCACCAGGGTCTTGAATCTCTAGGCCTCATTCCTTACCGCCCTCTTCAGCGCTCTTCCCCACCTCCCATGGATCTGACCTGTGCCATTTTGGCCGCGTTGGGTCCAAAAGCATAGCGGTCGGTGTGAGCACCACGATGGGTCGGATGGACGTCACATGGTCAGGGGCTGTGTGACAGTCTGAGACATTGACACAGATTGAAGGGCTCCAAATCAAGTGACAAGATGTGAACAGTAGAGTTCTGAGAGGACAACATATCAATAGGATCTGCTCAGCACCTAGATGGAGCCCTAGCAGTCACCCAGGATCCCCGATCCCCAAGTCATCAAATTGGAGGCCTACGGATCAAGGGACCCTGGGAGGATCGCACAGGTCAGTTATTGTGATACCGTGTATGTAAACATATATATATATAATACCAAAAGGGAATGTCATGGTCGAACCGCCCTGGTGAGAGCTTACTGACGGTGCTTATTGTTGGGGGTTAGACTCTGTCCCAAAGCAAATGGCACCTTTTGGACAGCACCCATGAGCTCTCAAAGAATGGGTTGAACATCTTGTGGCTTCCACATCAGGTGGTAGCTCACGGGAAGAGTTTGTAGGGCCCCGTGATAACCTGGGAGTAGCCCATCCATTGCACGTTTTTTCCATTGCGACCGCACAGGGAGCCACGCTGAATCTCAGGACCCAGTTGACACAGTTGGCCAAGTTGACCCCGACGAATTACTACACAAAGTCAATCGAGTCAACTAAGTCAGTCAAGTGGGATTGGAAAGAAACACTTACACCATCTTACACCACTTACAATCAAAAACCCTGCCTCCTCCTACTACTACTACTACTACGACTACTACGACTACTACGACTACTACTACTACTTCTACTACTACTACTACTACTACTCCTGCTACTACTACTACTCCTACTCCTACTCCTACTACTAGTACTACTACTACTACTACGACTACGACTACGACTACGACTACAACTACGACTACTACGCCTACTACGACTTCGACTACCACTACCAGTACCAGTACCAGTACCACTACTACTACTACTACTACTACTACTAGTCCTACTCCTACTCCTCCGACTACCACTGCTACCGAACCCTGAAGTTTAATACTAAGTTAAATATATGTATTATATATACACATATTTGTGTTAGCGTTTTACATGTTCAACGCATGCCGGAAGGCTGCGGTGGCCCATCCAAATTACATTGAACCTGTATGAACCTATTCAGTAATGTTTGATTCCATCAATGATTGTCAATGGTTTCTTCGCCACCGTGCCGCCTTGCGCAAACGCAGCTGCCAAGCGGCAGGCGAATCGGGAACAGTTGGAAAAACATTTCAGGCCTTCCGGCTGTGAGGGGCCCGAAGGAAAGCAAATTCTTGAGGCTGTTAGGATCTTTGCAGTTAGGACGAAGAATATGGAAGAATGAGCAAAACAAACACATCATTTACTGTATGATTTGAACCTGATTTTGCGTATTTAAGCACCATGATCAAGTAGCGCCTAAAACCGCCTGGAACCCCAACCGGGCAGTTTTGCAGGGAGGAAAGAATAGACACCCCTTTCATGCCCACTTCTACATGCAGATCGTGCCTGACCGAAACAGACCCCGAACAAACTGCGTGATGAAAGCTATTTCGGCTAGTGAATTGTACGAGCGTGTGAGAACTGAAAGGTAAAATGCACAGAAAAATCATGAAACTAGAAGTTTTGCATCCCTTCGCAACCGTCTATGTTCCACCAACGTTCGTGTGGTGTGGCGACTTTCTTTGTTCGCACACTCCAAGTTCCAACGGAGGCCATACTTCGACAAGGCCTGGCGCTTCAAGGCGCAGCCGCCCTTTCAGCACCCATAATTTTTTTTTGGTGTGGGTCATTCAGCAGACCATTTGCGCATGTATGTTTGTACAATTTTGTATTCCATTGTATCACACATGTATTTTATCCAAACATACCTTTTGCCCACCCCAAACTACTCATTGATAAGTGAACGTTGTGCTGTTTGAAACCAGTTTTCGGTTCCGTCAAACAGCTATTGGCGAAAATCGAGGCACGGCCTCTTGAGAGGACTGCAGACTGACTTAGTTTTACTTGTTTGGACGTTATTGTTTTCAGCAAGCGATCATCTCAGGAGGATTTGGTGGCAAAAGTACCCAAGTACACGGACGTGGTGAAAGACTAGGACTCGGCGACTCGGTCAGAAGGGCCTGAAGGGCTTGGGCCAGGCGTGCAAAGCGGTCCAAACATGCGAAGGAGTTCGTTTCGGGCAGTTTCAAGATGTTTGGGTTTGACTAGTCACGTCACTGATACGTTTGTTTTGAACACTCGTGTTCTGGCAAGATCTTGTGCCTGTAAAGCACAAGCACTTGAGGTTGGGGAATCGTTTGGATTCGTTTGGCCAGGAAACCAGATTGCGAGTGGTTTGTGGTAAACTAGCTGCTCCTACCATTGGTGGCAGCTTCGTGGCAGGTGCAGATTTCTAGCAAAGAGCAATGAACTGTAGATATGAATCATTGAAGCTTTGCTGAATTCTTGGCACTGACTCTCTGAACAAAAGTAAAGGCCTTGACCAATGGCAAACCCCACCAGTTCGAGATCAGGATCTATGGAAGGCGTTTGCTTGCAACAACCATGGACCATGGGGTTAAATTGGTTACGATACAGAGAGATCAGAAGGTGTTAAGAATGGTGTCTTGAAGAATCCGAGAATGTTTGCACCTTAAAGGGCTTAGAGTGATTCAAATTGTGTGCTTTGCTGCAGAAGGGACAACTCAAGCTCTCTCTCCGAGAGTTGCATAACGCCTCAGCTTTGCCAGGTCGAGCTGAAATGTCTTCTGAGCAGGATTTGCTTGGCATTGCTCATGAGTGCAAGGACGAGGTGCGAAGAACACCTTCTTTTCAATTAAAAAGTTATATATTATTCTCATTTATTCTCTACCCTTTTGACCACAGAAGAGAGCGTTTATCAAAGCATGTATGGATGGTGTCCTTCAAGTGTTTCCCTTGTGTGTTTTGTGGCACTACGGAAGAGGTTTAAAAATGACAGTAAAGCCTTTGTCACGACCCGTTCTAAAGCAAACATGCTATTTTGCTCTTCCAGGCCATTGGCAGATTCATAATCACAAGCAGTGCTGCCTTTGGCGGCTAGAGGCAACTATATGAAGAGATCACGCATCCAAGAAAGGAATGGAAATCTCTGTGAAATTGTTACAGCGCCGCCACCACCACCACCACCAGCAGCAGCAGCACCAGCACCCATCACCACAACAACAACAATGGTCATTCAGTGTGTTCGCTCCTTTTGACTCTTCCAAGAGCCATGGTGTCTCAAGCTCTTCGCAAACAATTTACTGGAGAACATAATCAAAACGTATTGATGCACGCAACATACAAGTCAACGTACCAGTGGAGACAAGGTGTTTTGGCATACACTGCTTTTTTTTGTTGATTGAAGAAGCCTCACAACGGCTTTCACTTTGCAGATCAACAAATAACACGTTTAATGGGGGTTGAAGACCTGCGATTAAGCAGCTTATATGTGTTCAAGCCTTGTTTGGTTCACTGCGGAACCTTCATTCGCATCATCATCCATCATTTGAGAGCGCAAAAGAAGCTTTGTGCGTCTCATGACTTGCAAAGGGGCTTTGCTCTCTCGAGCAATGCCTTACGGCCGTCTCATGCCTTACGGGCAGAAAGGCCGTAAGCCTTCGTGGCTCTCAGCTGGTAACGATGAAGCCAAGTGTTGTTTCTTCACACCATGTTAGAGTCAACCATGTAACAAGAAGACGCCAAAGCCACCCATGAGCCAAACATAATTCGCCTCTTCTAAGTGCGTCGTTCATGGTCTGAGGGCCTGTGCCAATCCGGTCTCACCGGCAAATCGATTTCCTGAGCACTCCTTGGAGGTTCTAGTCTCTGAGAAGCACTCAGATGCTGATGGGTGGCGCCAAGCAGCTTGCGCGACCCGATGCGAATCCACGCATCCTTCAAGGCATTGAACGGTGCAGAAGCGAGCTGGTACTCGCATCGCATTGTTTGACATGAATCAACAGGATGACATCATGGAACATGTGAGGTGTACTAGTATGTTCAAACGCAGTAAATGTGATAGTATTAAGCATGGATGTGCAGAGAGTTTGAGAGGTTGCCAACAGAGCTTTCAACAAACAGGTGGGATGACCATAAACCCTCTCTGAGAGGTAGATCCTATCATATCCTATCCCTTATCCAAGTTGATCTTTACATCTCACAGCTCCTGCCTCACTGAGCACATTCGTCGCTCCTGACGGAGAGTCATTCGGACAGCGCGGAGCGGAGAAACAATGCACTGATCGTTGCCGTGCGCATCAGCTAAATTCTTGGGCGGTTCGAATCTTGCCGACTGAGCAGGCAGAAAGCATCTATGCTAAAGGTTTTGGTTTGGGGTAGATGCGCTGTCCTTGCCCATCCGTGCGCTTTAGTGAGTGAAAAGCATCATCTCTATATGTGATTTGATGCTACAAGGCCTTTGGCTACTTTGATGCGTCTCGGGAAAGTCGATGCAACCCCGCCCCCAAGGTTGCAGAATCAAGCCATGATGTGTAGTTGGGTCACCATGTTTGACCAAGTAGAAAGTGTGCCACGGGGAAGCACATGACTTAACCGGTGCGCTCGAAGCTGGGCTAGCCGCTGTGTAGAACATTGTTTGTATCTATCCTCATGTATTTGGTTGCCAAGGAGTCCATGTTGATCAGGATTCCCGACTGGCTTCAGCTCGGTCTTTTGAACAAGAGCAGTTCCGGTGTGCACGGAATCTAAAAGTTTTTGGATGCCGCTTGCACCAGTCAGAAGAGAACCATACATCGCTCCTTTGCGGCTCCAGGAATTCGAATCATCCAGGGGGGAAGCACTGGAAGCACTTAGATAGGATGTAGAAGCCAACAGAGGATACCAGAGGAAGCTCTTAATTATGGACTTGCCATATTTTGCTTGCCTTTTAGTTGGTAAACTCTGCACAATGGAAGTTGAAGGGAGTACTACGCTTGAAACCGCAAGAAGTGAGGCGATGAGATATGACCCAATCAACAAGAGCTTGAATAGACTACTGTTTACACCTCTTGGGAAACAAATTCGATCTTGCTTTGGTGGAACATGGGGACTGCCTTGTGCTACCCTCAGTGAAGAAGTCAGTGAGTGGGTCAGGCAAGAGGTCCGCTTTGGGTTCCATTTTGGGAAGGTCCCTGGGAGAAGGCACAGGAACAGCCCTCATGACAAATCTTGGCAGGTCCAGCTTTGTTCACGGATCATAGACTGTTTGATTGCGTCATATCAGTGGTGATTGTTTAATGAATGAAGAAGTTCACACAGAACAAGATGGCTTGCAGGATTGCATATGCCTATACAGATTGGTAAGTATGTAAGGTGCAGCGCACTCATCCATCCATCCTCAGAGACTTCGTCTCACGCACCATTAACCTTCTTCGAGGTTTACAGGAATCTCTGAGACACAAGCGCCTCCAGTGCAATTCCCTAGCGATCCTCAACTCTTCAATACTTGCTCTAAGTGTTTGGGATATGGGAGCACATTACGTTCCAGTTACAATACAAATAAAAATGTTTGATTGCAGTTCTAGGGCTCTTGGGGCCTCCAGCGTCGAGTTCCCAATTCTTGTTTGTCCACCAAGCATCCAAAGGACAGTGTGATTTTGACTAGTGACTAGACGAGAGATTCCCTTTACCTATATAAGCGCTTTAGAACCTCTTTTCTGTTGTCAAACGATAGCAAACGATATGATTATATGACCTGTCCGATATTCCCATGTTCCCTGATTGCAACTCCCCCGATGTTCCTTGCCACGATGTCTCAGGAGCCACTGTGGCTTCCGCATTGAGCACCTAGGCCCGACGTTCTACTGGAGTCGCTTGCTAAAAGAACATATATAATATACCACAGTATAGGATTATTATGGATTATTGTTGTTCTGAAAAGGTATGCAACGTGTATGGGAAAAGGCCGGTGGTTGTTTCATATTGTTCGTTCAAAATAATCCCAAGATTTGAGACTTCCAATACCTAGCTTCAAAAATGTTACCCCCAAAGATTTTTGGGCCAAGATCAAGCATCATCAAGTATCATCATGGTCACTTTGAGCAGTTTGCCCTACTACCGGTTTGGGAAAGCATGGGACAGCACCCAATGGAAGGACCGGGACATCACGCATGTTTGGGTGCCATTCCGTGAAGTTTGGAACCTTTGAGAAGAGAGTGCCGGTTGGTATAGAACGTAAAGTTATATAACCAAATTCAACCATCCATCATCCATCATCCATCGATATGGATAGATAGATTCATTGATTGATTGATACAAGTGGTACACGTACAGTATGTCTTTGTGCTATGACATGTATCTTGTTTGAACGTTTTTTTTTCTGGAGTGAACATCTCATTCCACGAATCTACCGCGCCGATTTGTTTCCCTCTTCAGGACACACCTCACTCGCAGCGCACGGACAGGTTCATCAATTGCCAACTTGAACGAGGAGGATTGCCAATCAAGAAGTGCATAGCACATCATAGCAACTGAAAAAATAAAACAGGAATGTTGTTGCCTTGAAAAAGAACATCAGTTACTGCTGAATGCGGACGCAGTTCCTTTTGCCCGTTGCCTTTGTTTTCTTGGTTGGGTGCCTGGAGCCCCACGGCGCTTCCATGTGTTCACTGTTTCGAAATCAGCTTCGGCGGCTTGTTCCTCTCTATTGCCTCCAGTAGTCCAATCACACACACAAGTACTTTGTGAAACTCGGAATCCAGGAATCCACTGGCATCAAGTCTTATTGAAGAGTTGAAGACTAAACAGAGGCCATCGCTAGTACAATGGAGGCCATCGCTAGTAGGTTAAACAGTTAAACATCAAACACATTTTTGACTCTTCAGCCATCCGCTGGCGAGTCGGCGAGGAGCTTATTTTAGAGATCCTCAGCACAGCAGCAGACCACTCACAGGGAGCCAGGCGCCTCAAAGCGCACAGAGCGCTTTGCAGGCTGCAAAACGTTGTGTTGCCAATTACAAGCAGGCAGATGCGTAAGGGCTGTGTAAGATCCCAACATGTCCAACTAAAAACATGTTTGAAGGCAGTTCAAGTGGTACGGTATGGTAGCTAGAATCTAGAAGGTGAGATAGCTGCAACATGTTCTGGCTGGGCACGGTGATCCTTGTAGCAATCCAGTCAAATGTCTCGAGTCGGATGTCCAAGAGTTGGTAGTTCTTAGCACACTTTGGATCAGGAATCAGTAGGGATGAGATGAACATGCACAGACAGGGATGAGATGGCTGAACAGGAGTCCTCATTCCCACAGAACGTGACTGGACGTGGCTATACTGTTTGTGACAGAGTCGTCAATGGACTAGGCGTTGCAACGCCAATCCATGGAAACGATGCAATGTTTGATGCAAACAGAAAAGAGAAAAGTTGAAAGCCTTGTTGTTAAAGTCGTTTTAGGTTTGCCTGGTAGACAACACGCTTGGTTTTTTGTCAGTGTGCATATTCAAGTGTCAAGACTCTTTGCCCACTGACCTGCGGGCACCACCGGTGGAGGCTCTCCCGGCAATAAGAAGCATGCAGATGTGTAAGATGGTGTGAAGCTGTGGAGCTAGTGTGAAGCTGCAAATACCATAAAAACGTATATATAATGGATGTTCTTCAGATCCTGAATGACGAGTCTGTGCCAAAATGGTGCAAAGCTCTAGTGTTGTTGGCTTGGCTCGATGCTCGCTTTCTCTCGGAGGCCCAGCGGCCTCAAAGAAGCACAGCAAGTCCATGTGGCTCGGCGGTTGAGGGAGCTTTCGAGAACATGGGTGGATGTGCTGGGAGGAGATATAACTACTAAACAAAGTACTGGTACCTTTACTGTAGAATTCTTAAAAGGGGGGAAACTAGGTAGAAAAGGCCAGATCGACTTTTGCGAATGTGACTTGCAGCAGTGCTGTGTCACTTGGAAAGACTTGGATTCAATTCTTGACGAATTCAGCTTTTGTAGTGGCTCGCTTGCTCGCTGAGCAGTGCACATCACACAAACAGAATCCAGATTGGAGGTCAAAATGCAATGGGGGGAGCCTGAGCACCTGTTCTTTTTTAACGTATAAATACTTCTATAATACTATACTATCTTCACCGATTTTGGCTCTATCATGCCCTATCCTAGCTTTTATGTATTGGAGCGCCTAAGGTCGGAGTCAGATAATTATATACTTATGACAGTAAAATATTGTGAGGGTTGGTCCCCTACTATTCTTAGTTATCAAGGTAGCTGGACCCACCCATTTTGGGGGGGAAGCCCTTTTGGTTTCCCTGGCTTTCCAATCTTGCATTTGCGTTTGTTTTGCTTTTTGTCTTTTTGAGATTCTGTCGGGATAGCCTGGGTGGAGCCCTGAAATGAAACAGAACAAGAGTCCCTGGAAGGTGCACCCTTTAAAATGCGTTCCAAGGGGTTGGTTGGCCCCTTCAGAAGTTGTTTTATTGGCAAAAGATATTGGAGCGCGAGAGAGAGAGAGAGAGGTGTTTTCCTTTTTTTGTGGGGGAGCTGTAACCATTTGAAGGGGACGAGGTTTAGACTAGTTTGAAACCCAGTGGCCCTGGCTTTTAGAACGATCTACGTTTTCTTACAGATGTATCCCTACAGACGTTGGCAACCCCCACTTTAAAGGCTCAAAAAGGTAGCCAGATATTCTGAGTAGCCAAGCCGAGCCTTACAGGGACCAGTGAATGCGGAATAGATTTGAGCAGCTTAGCCGATCATTAGAGTGATGCGATCCATGCACTCTAATACCATTAGCAGGGAAAGCTTCAGTAGCCTGTTTTGTCAGATGTGTTTCATCCAGCTTTGAGCCTTTTGGGGGTTGACATCGAAAGCACTGGTGCTTCTCAAGTTGCCACGAGCTGCGGCTTCTCCCCTCAGGTCGTGAACCTTCGAAGCCCTCCAGGACTCGAATCATTGAACTTCAGGTGCGGTGCGGGATGTGAAGAGGTTGAACCAGGACTACATACCTGCACAATCCTGCACATACCTTTCTCTACCTGAACCACGACTTCTTAGGATTTGCATAGGCATTGCAGCGTTGCAAAAACGGTTTGCAGGTAAGTAATTGTTGTTTCATGGTATTTTGCGTCACGTCTCCTGCTCGGACTCGCGATGGATCCACCCGCGACTCGGAACATCGAAAGCACCGTGGGAACTCGCAGGTTTCGAGAAGATGTTCGCTCCGCCTGGCCCGACGAGCATCGCTTTCAGGCGAAGAATGGGGCGGAAAGACGAAGAAACGAACAGCAGGGGGGGTGGACTGAAGGCATTTGAGGAGTATGCAACATGTTGATAAATGTTGATGATGTTCCATTTGGATTCATCAGCTATATATACTGTATATATAATTTTATGGGTCTTGATTACATGCATTCGGATGAGTGGAGTTGAATTTATTAGTAGCATCCACATCCGTGGCCGACTAGCAAGAGCCGGTGTTTTACAGACTGACTGGTCACTGTTTCAATTGGTTTCACAAGGATAGATCCTTTTCTGTCCACACCCGCTCCTAAGTCCCAGCAACTGTTCAACCTTGTTTCTTTATATGGGTTCTAAGAGTACCGGTTATTTTTTTTCCTATTTTGTAGTTGAACAAAACCTTTGGGAGAAGCTTCGAGTGAGTGAATCACTTCATTCAACTCCACCAATTCCCGCCACAGAGATGGGTATCGTTGATGCAGGCAACTCCGGTGCCGATGAGCAGTAGACTATTTCAACCGCCTTGACAGAGTTGAATTCCAACTGCCTCCATCGTGCTTCCTTCGACTCATGAGGCGTCCAAGCGATCGTGGCTAGTACAGATCGCCCGAGGGCTCAGCGAGCGGCCTATAAAGCCGTGCTGGGCATCACGGGGATGGCAGAGCCAGAAATGCTTGAAGTCAAACGTTTCATGGCATTGGAGGTTTGCTCCTATGTTGCTCTTATTGGGACAAAGATGCATACGAAGTCATAAGACAAGGGCTTAGAGAAGTTAATTGTTCTTCACTGTAGGGACAGAGGGAAGCAGGAGCTGGTTGTTGGAAATAGTATAATGGCAATTACTGAGATTTGGGTTGACCATGAATAGCAACTTATCAAGACCACGTCCTTTTGATCAAACATCCACATTGAACTGCTGGGTCCAAGGTTGCCGTTCTGAAATCGCCAGGCTGACACCAATACCTCAAAGTTCAACGGATTAATAATGAATACATATTACTTCCTTTTGAACTGAACCAATTAATTTGCTGTGAATTCGTTGCAATTTGCTTGACTGTTACCTCCAGCCATTGTTGACATAGCACCAGAACCATCAAGACAACAATCAAGCTCTTATGGATTACTACATTGAAACAAAATGAACTGAGAAATGGCCGACTGTTTTTTTCATGATGATGTTGTTACATATATATATATATTATACACACAGTAGCATATACAGTACTTGTTTAAATTCTGATAGTGGTTAAATTAGGCAGGTTCACTAGTTGTTTTTTGCCATGGATAGCAAGTGGCCAGTCTTTTGGGAGGGTGCACAGTTTCATGGATGTAATGGTTGTCTCGGAAGGTCTTTGAAATGGACTCCTTTCATGATACCGCCACTCATATTGTGTCACTCCTGGACCAGGAAGACCATGCGGAGGCGCCGAGGATGGAGGGTGCGAAAATGGTTTCTGGTTCTTCCGGGAGGTGCGAAGGATTGTAACTGGCCACAGCTATCAACGAGAAGAGAATAAGTGAATCGTAGGCCTAACAAATCGTCTTTCATCGCCCATGTGCTTGCTCGATGTGTCTTTCTGGGAGACGGCTTCCTGCTGGTGGTTGTCCGCTGGAAGGGCGATCACCTTTCCCGACTGGCACTGCTAGCCCGCAGTGGTGCCCACACACCAAATTTGCACAGACTTGCGAAGGATTCTTGTTGGCCTCCAACCGAACATCAAGGTATATCAAAGTCATGTTTCGCTGCCCAGTGGATGGATCTTGAACCTTTGAACTGGAGGGAGAGCTCCTCAGATGTGCCGAGATTTTGTTTCAGCCACCACCTCATTGTAATAGGGCAGGGTCGTCACGACGAGCATCCAAAAACCATGCAAGGTGAATTTATACTTGAAACCTCCATGCCTATGCATTTGCAAGGTTCTTTCCAACACCATCATATTTTCCTGCAGTGCTTCATCTAAATACACCGATCATCCACGCTTCATCCACCCGTTCCCGGCACCGATCATCCACGCTTCCGCCAGGGCCTGGTGCTCCAAATCGCCACCCGCAACGAGGAGCGCTCCCTGGAGGCCGTGGCTTTGGACTTGGAGGAGAGGGCGACCGAGAGCGGCGCCGGCGACCGAGACGGCCGAGGGATCGCTTCGGCTTGGTTCGGTGTCACGGTGTGGGGGGTTTGGGGTGTCTCGGTTCGCTTGGGAGAGTCAAGTTGAAATGCTTTGTTTGCACTCGCTCGTTGCGGCAACCGTTGATTGTGTGAACAGAGGCCCGGGCCTTTGGATCCCGTTGGTGGACCAACGACTGCGCAAGAAAATGGAAGGTTATGGATTTTTTTTGGGCAAGCTTTTTGGGAGATGTGGGAACTCCTTCGACATTGACATTGGGAGCTGATCCAAGAGGTGTGGCACCTTCTGGGGTACAGGAACCCCTGTTGTTTCCTTCACCAACCTGACTTCTATTACTTTAGTTTTATTTATTATATAGTTAGCAATGAGGTCACCCATCGTGGCATAGATTTGCCTCGAGGACTAGGGAGACCGGCCCCATGGAAGGTTGGGTGTCACCCTATTGAAATACACATCCACTTGGTCAGAGATGATCAGTTTCACTGAGAAAAAAGCAGACTTGAGGACTTGTGTCCACAACCTCGAGAGAGGCTCCCACGAGCCTGACTTCAAAGCCACCTTTTCGACGCACCTGGGAGGACTCGCGCCTGGCTGCCTCCTACGCACATCGATTCAACCTGTACAGTCGTCCAGCACTGAGAGGGATGTAAAACGCGTGGCACAGTGGTGCATGTGTTTCTTTTCTTTTATGGAATTAACTCACCTTGGAAGTTGTCAAGTACATGTTTTATATGTTGTTAATATGTTATCATTGGAAAGTCATCCTAGAGCAAGTAAAATCAGAGGCAAATCATCGGCAATGGTTTTTTGCACCATCCGTGGCTCCAATGGGAAGCTACGATGGCAGATAGCTGCACCAAAAAAACCGGAGGTGAACATGCTCGACAAGCTGGTTTTGATGACAATATCCCCAGCATCAAGGCGCGACAATTTGTTTGGACTTCCCTTTTCGGCGGAATTCCAATTCGAGTACCTGGTCGGCCCGAATGCAATTCGGAAATACATGGAAATACAAGAGAAACTCAGAGAACTTTCGGCACTCCTTGATTCGACCTGTAGATTACCTTCCCGAACAATCCTTACACCAACGTTTTGGAGGATGTTTGAACACTGTTTGGAAGATCTAGCAATCTGCATGCTGAGGGAGTGTCCTTGTCAACCAGGTGTCTCAACGCTATTCGCGTGTGTTCTTTTCATGGGACCCAAATGGCCTAAACCTGTCATGGTCAAGGACAACTTCAAGCAGCTCATTCTTAAAGGTGAGAATGTTTGAAGTGATGGTCGTCCCAAAATTGTAGTGTCTGTGAAATCTTGGTGCTTTGAAGTGATCTATGCTACATGGATATTACATAGATATCCCCCAAACACTTTTTTCCGTGTGGAGCTGTGGACCAAATCGATCCACAACCCTGCCAGGTGGCCGCTCCAGTGGCCTGCCGTGTGGTGAAGAGCCACATGCCGGCGCTGTTGCCCATTGGTTTGGGTCCCAAGGATCTGGTGAAGGGGGCATGGCGTTCCCGGCGTGGCGTTCCGTTCTGGTAGTTTGGAGGTCCCAACAACTGAAGCAAAGAGGTGCAGATGGGAAGTGATGTGAAGAGAGATGCAGATGTTCAGTGATGTTTGGGCAAAGCCATGTGAACGAGACACGAGACATCCTTTATCGATGTCAACGAGACGAACACGCACGTCGACACCTCCAAGTTGACCGAGCGCTGAAGGGGTCAGCACCCTGGTGTGCATGAGATAGAAAAAGAAGAGCAGCCTCCAGTCCACACCAGGGTCGTCCCAGGGGTGTCCATTCACAGCCCATTAGAGCCTTAGAGGTTAAGGAGTGTTCATTCAACAACCCTTGCGGATCCTGGTATGTGCAGCCCCCCTGGGCGCTTCATGATTTGTCATCCCTAGTTCCAGCGTTCCCGAGGCTTCCCAAGTTTTCGTAAGTTTGGGATGAGGAAGCTCGTGACATGTAGAGAAAACTCGTCACCATCGGGACATGGGAGTTGCTTTGGCTCGGACTTAAGCATCAACCCACCATAACCCACCATTCACATGTCCCAGTTCTAGAGAATAGATCTGTACACTCGCATCGCCGTCTTCAGGTTCTGCATGTTTTTGTGGCCCACTTCCTGGCGAGGAAGCGGCCCCAACTGGTCGGTCAAGAGTTCTATCCCGTCGCCGTGCAGGTGCTGCTTGCACCCTTTTCCCGTACGAGGATCGAGAGGCCTTGGGCGTGGGTGGAGTGGGGGGGACTTGTGTCCTATGGCCTTTGTGGGTCCAATGGTCCTGTTTGGGGCTGAAGCTGCTGGAGAAGCACCACCCAGTTGAAGGAGTGAACCGCTTGAGGAGTCAAGTGGACCGGCTCGGAAGAAATGAACATGAAATGCTCCGCAGGTGCATTGCAACAGGTGATGAGTTTACTTGGAGTTTCGGGTAACGACAAATCACCGAGCAGGGATTTAGAGCAAGTGGGACAACTCTTAAAGAATGTTCCCCTCCTATATATATATATATCATATCCCCCATGATATTCGGACTAGAGAATGGGGCACGTTAACGTACTCTAGGTTGAGAGTACATGGCGGTGAGTGGTCCAAAAATCGACGTCGAGATGCCATCTACTTTTCCTCGTTCTGCTGCACTTTTTTTCGGGGGTCAGACAGGAAAAAGTAGATGGCACCTGCCCGAGGTGCAGCCAAGTCCACATGTTCAAGCTCCATTTGATTGCCGCAGTCATATTCCATTCACATGTCAAGGAAAAAGGGGTTTGTCACTATTGTTTTACTGTACACTATTCTGAGGGTGCTTGGCATTGACACATGTAGGTTTCATACCTTGTGCGACAAAGACATGTTCAATGCACACATGGAAAACACACGTTACCACATGTTAACACATGTTACCACCTGCACCTACCTTTCCTTCCACCTTTTTCCTTGATGTTTTCAGCTATTTACAGCCATAATGGACATGTATTACAAAATCCATGTTTCCTGCAGCTTCACCACAACGGCGCACATACGTTGGGCTTCTTGCGGGAAGAATCCAAAAGGCGGCCCCATTGTTTAGTAATTACACTATTGTCAAACCAGATGGCGCAAAAACATGTCAACAAATCAGGAGTGATAGGCATGGTATACACCCCCAAGAACAAAAAGTGACTTGGCACAGGGGTATGGTCCAAAGATAGGGCGGTGCCATCTATTATGTGAAATTGGCTGTGTTTTTGCTCCTATTTTAGGAACGGTGCCATCTACTAGCGTGAGGACACAATATGGAACAAAGAGAAGGGAGAGATACAGAGAGAGAGAGAGAGCGAGAGAGAGAGAGAGAGCGAGAGAGAGAGAGGGAGAGAGATGAGAGAGAGGGCAGAGAAAAGAGAAAGAAAAAAGATAGAAAAGAGAGAAGGAAGAGAAGGAAGAAGAGAAGGGAAAGGGAGAGAAGGGGAGGGAAGGAACAAGACATGGGCAGCAGAAAAAGAAGGGCTTGTGGAAAGCAGGGAAGGGAGAAAGGGTGAAAAGAGAGAAGATTGAGAGGGGACAGGGCGGGACTGCCACTCTGTGTACAGTAGGTTGCGCAAAGTGAAGGTCAGAGGTAGGGGGAAGGAGAACAGGAGAGGGAGAGCAGGTATAGAGAAAAGGGTGAAGGGGGCAGGACTGACAAGTGCAGAGTAGATGGCGCAGCCTGATGACCAGCCAGGGCATGGGCAGCAGAAAGGGCAAGGACTTGTGGAAGGATAGCGCATGTAGTTCTTTCCTCGAGCAGGGAAGGGAGAGAGAGAGGTCAAAATTGGTGGAGGGAAAGGAGGAGAGGGGAGAGCCGGGAGACCAGGTAGAGGGAAACGGCGGGAGGGGATTGGGCAGGACTGACAGCTGCAGAGTAGATGGCGCAGCCTGATGACCAGCCAGGGCATGGGCAGTAGATGGCGCAGCCTGATGACCAGCCAGGGCATGGGCAGCAGAAAGGGCGCATGTAGTTCTTTCCTCGAGCAGGGAAGGAAGACAAAGAGGTCAGGGGTGGGGGAGGGAAAGGAGGAGAGGGGAGAGCCGGAGAGCAGGTATAGGGAAAAGGAGAGGGGAGAGCCGGGAGAGCAGGTAGAGGGAAACGGCGGGAGGGGATTGAGCAGGACTGACAGCTGCAGAGTAGCTGGCGCAGCCTGATGACCAGCCAGGGCATGGGCAGCAGAAAGGGCAA